AGGCGGAGCCGCAACTGCGCGCAGTCGAATGGGTGGTCAAAGTGGTCGGAGCTTGACGCCATTTTAATAGCTGTAACCATGCCCATCCGTCCGCCCCTAAGCGGCCGATCGACCAGGGAGTCGTGCCTCGATGGACGCGAAACCGGGTTCGCTCGGCGACTGTCTCTTTTCAAGGCGATGTCGCTTCGAAACGGACTACCGCGTCGTCGCCGATCGATCGGTCGACTTCTCGTTCTCCTCTCTATCTCTGTCTCGCTTTCGCGCACTCCTCGCTTCCGTACACATACGCGTAATCGCGCTTCTTTGCCATTTGATCTTCGCGTTAGAATCGAACGATACATTTTTTTTCAATGAGCTGCATAAACTTTCGAGCGTTTCTGATAGGAAATCGAGAGATTTATGTTTCAGGAATATTACATTTTATGCATTTGCGCGTAGCGAATTCGAATAAAATGTTCGGTACTATACTCGCGAGATAACGCGATACTTTTGCGCGCAAAGGTTGCGATCTAAACTTGTTTGACGATTCTTTTCTTTATCGTAACGGTAAAGAGTCCAACAGCGATATCGGGCCCGCTGGTTCGTGTTTTTCGTGATACAGCGCGAACGATTTAATCAACAATTCGCGGAACAATATCTATCCGTACCGTAACGTAACATCGTACAACGATACGATAAAATGACTCTACATTCGCTGTCAATCTAGACTCGAAAGTGTCGACCTATAAACAAGAATAACGTTGACGCTGCATTTTATCGAGAAGATTCAACGTTGAAAATTCGCGACTAATTTGGACAGTGGTAAGATCTGAGGGAAACGCGGACCGCTATCAATCGGTACCGACTCGGAAATAATTTCTCGAATACGGTACCGTATCTGGCGTTATCGAAAGACCGACATGCCCATATGCGTGCAACTATCTTTCGTAACTACAGTAATATCGTAGTTCTTTTAAAATCGTAAAAACGGAAACCCGTTCTGTCCTTCGACGTGCAGGTCAAAGTTGCGAAACTAGAGGCTACAAAGTGTATCGAAGATCGAACGCGCGTAACGAGCAGCTTCGCTAGCGGTGCCCCATATTTTCCAGCACGCACTTGCCACCGTTATGTACCTGCATATTTATCGCTACAGCTCGTCGATGTACTTTTTACCGCGATGGGGACAAGCGGCCGTTCGTAATACGGCACTGCTCGAAAGCCGCTCTTTTTGTGCTCGATGCACCGCGACGGCACTGGATGCGTCCGATAATTAGAGCGACGTGGAAAGGGACTGCATGGTCAGATGACGCTCGAGCATCGGTCCAACGAGTTCTTTGCGCTGATTAGCGGTGCATACTTCTACGTCGCTTCTAAACTCGTAAACGGGCGTTCGTCTCGGACGATTTGTGCTCGTCGATCTTTCTCTCGTTCGTATAGCGAAACGGCTAAAGGCCATCGAACGAGAGCGAAGGAAAGAAAGGTACGTAGGCAACTCGATGGCTACTGCTCCTCGATGGGTTCCTCGAAAAATGTAATCGACGAATCTGTCGGAATTCGAACAAGAGCGATCTCGGCGAACAGTCGAATCGAGCGAGATCGATCGATGACTCGATCGGTGGACGTCGAAGGGTGGCGTAGATCATAAAGCGCGAAGGGCACGTTCGAGGGGGGTAAGGATTAACGCGAGCAAGAAGAGGAAAGGTCGGAATCGCGGAAAAGGACGAGGTCGGGAAAGGAAACGGGCTGGTTCGTCGACGCTCGTCGACGCTCGGCGTCGCTCGTGCGGCTCCGTCGCAGCGAGGCGGGGTTTAGGCGGGGTCGATACGAACGGAGCCCGTGT